AAATGAATATTTTTGATTGGACAATATGCAGCAGGACTGAAGGAAGGATGACCATGGCTCATTCCTCATAACCAAATAATCCGTTATCCGACCTGTTCCCTTTATGAGTTCACCATTGTCGAGACTCTACCACCATTCAACTTCCTGCCTTTTGTCTCAACCGATTACTACATAATCTGGCCATCGGATCGTCCCAGCGTGTTCTTAAACCATCAACCCAAAATTACTCGTCCAGCAAAATTAAGCTTGCAATTCCCCAGGTCCACCGCCTGTTTCTCAGGCCAGCCACATGACCGGTCGATCTTCTTCTTCTCTTAACGTCATAAAAGGCAAAATAATATGTCTGTTAATTCGGTGCGTTGTTGAATTTGTGCTGTTGAAACGTGATCCCAGAGGGCCATTCTGTACGTTTCTGTTCATTGGGCGACCATCCGTTTGTTTTCCTCGGTTTTGGTGGCAGAACAGTGTTCAGCGTCATAGACCATGGCTGGTAGAACAGTTAAATTGAATCGTCTACTTCTCCGTCATTGGCTGCTCACTGTCTATTAACGGTGTTTCACCCGTCTAACTGGAAAGAGCCCTCAAGTCAGTGTTCGTTGGCATCCATTTCGCTTTGGAGAGTTTGACCTCTAAGCCGATGGTCAGAGATTCTGATTGCAACTGCAGGATATTCTGTGAGAGCTCCATCACGTTGTCAGACATAATAATGCAGCCGTCTACAACTAACAAGTGCGTTAGCTGCTCTCCATCAAAGTACGTGCCATTGGACCAGTCAAGCTGATTGAGGAGCGACTCCAAGGTCGCAGCGAATACAGCCGGCAAGTTACAGTACCTTGGCGTACTCGTCTATGAATGCTGATGCGACATGGTTTGCTGAACAGCTTGAAGTCAGTCGTGCAACCGGTGTTCAATCCCTCGATCAGGTTGATTTAAAAAGGGTTTATGCAAGGCGATTAGCATAGCCGTCAATTTTATCGAATCGAACGCCTGCTTGGAATCGAGTAGCAGTATTTCATACTCGTTGCACCTTACCATTAACTGATGCATAACACGTACATGGTCGCTGGTAAAATTCACTGTACGAAAATCGGCCTTTTGATGACTAGTGACTAGTTCGAAGTTCTTCAGAATAAGGTTGAAAATGATCTGAGGGAAGATTTTGTGCAAAGGAGAGAAATTGGTGGATAGTTCTTGAGGTCTTTAGGCGTTTTTTGCCTGGTCTATTCCATAAAAGTTTGGCAAGCGTTTGAAGCAATGTTGTTTCTACCGTCTTAAGGGTTCTAATGTTATATTATCTTCGTCTGCACATCCGCCATTTTTAGTGTTTCTAATTTTCCACTCAACTGCGTCCCGGGTCACACAAATGTTAGGATGATTTCGTAGCAAGCGATAACAAATTTAGTGCTCTCGCGAATGTGAAATGTGAAGCGAGCGGCTGCCACTCGTAAATCAGTCAACCACCAGTCAACTAGGAATCAAGAAATCCGTGATTTCAATGGCCAACAGAACAAGAGGTAAGCTCCGTTGTTAAGAGTTTAATGTTGTAGCGTCAGACGATGTTTGTTTTACGGCCCGTCGGTACAAAGTCAGCGTAATGGCGAAAGCGGAAGTTAGCCTTCCGGATAAGGGACGTTTGACCTGCAAGATTGGTGG